GAGAAATGAGATAATACTCTTTTCTGGCTTAAGCTAGTATGAGTTGTGTTTCTGCCCTCGGCCATGGGAAAGAGCTCTATTTATTAGCCATTCACAGAGTGGTTGCAAAATTTAATAACAACATGTAAAGTGCCTGGCAATCAGAGGTACTGGATCACTGTTGAAACTGTTACTCCTATAATCAGAAAATAACACCAAAGAGTAAAAGAAAAGCACTGGCAAAATTTAAAACCTTAAGGCAGGTAAGCCTAAAATAGCCTTCCTGGCTAGAGGCAGAGTTTGGGGAGACATGTGGAGAAAGTGAATCTTCAAGTAAGGAGAGAATCTATGAAGCTTACAGAGATTATCAGACTTCAAATGAATTTGCAGTGAAAACTAAGAAATTTTATTTCTTGCACTAAAATTCACAAGAGTATGAATGGCCTCCCAAAGGGGTCTGTCTCTTCATAATACCAGTGTCTGAATGTTTAAAAAGATCTCAAATGTACAACTATTATTTTTAAACCTCCAAAACCAATCTCAATGTTTTAAGATCTCATACAACTTAATTTTCGTATGGTTCATAATTATTACTTTAGTCATTGTTGTTTCCTAAGTAGTCACATGTTTATATATTAAATATCTATTACAATTTAAAGAAAGTATCCTTCAACTTATGAAAGAGACAAATTCCTTAAAATTTTACACTGAATTATATCACTATGTAATATGAAAAGAAATCACAAAATTGGATTATGCACACCCCTCACCCCAAACCAATGAGCCAAGTTGAAGAATTTTGGAGAAACAGAAGACTTAATTCCATGGCACTGTGAACACCGCTATACTCTCAAAACAATCATCCCTCACTGAGCAACAACTATATGTGCAAGCATAGTGGTGCTTCAAGCCATGCTCCACAGAATGTGCTTTATTAGCTGAACTGAAGTATTCAGTCGCTACAATATGATGTTCGTCATTTCCCCAATACACAGGGAAAAAAAATTAAGGAAATTTTCTCAATTTTAAATGATACTCTAATCTTTTTTCTGAAAACTCTTCTTTTACCTATTCAACTATAATCTAATGTGAGGTACCATCTGATTTAGCACATAATTATACACTCGGTTACTTTGTTTTGGATCTCAGTGGTATTCTGCAAAGAGCAAATCAATTTCTATACAAATTTGAAAACTGCAATGCTAATTGATGAGAAATCAAAAATAATATAAGTCAGAATAGATCAGTTATCTCAATGAGTTACAATGTAGATATGGAGAAAAGCTACAGAAATAAAAAATAAATTAAAAATAAAAAATATGAAAAAGTCACTCAGGTTCTACAAGTGATCTGTGCAGGAAGTGAGATCATTTGAGAAATAGCAGTGATGAGAAAGGTGATTCAAAAGTAGACTATAAATGGGGCTTTGAAGGAAAGAGAAGCATGTAGAAACAGGGCTAGGAAAGCAGACTGGCAGCCTGGTGCCCGTTTCAGGCTGTGCTGCAACACTACCACTGCAGATCTGTGAGTTTTATCTGGCAAAGTCATGGTTAGAAGAAGGGGTGTCACATGAGAATTTTAATTAAGTCAGGTAACACACGTAAATTCCCAATTTTATATATCGTCTACATTTGTCATATAGTATAACAACCTCAATAAACTAGAAACCAATGAACAAGACCTCTAATCAATGATAGAAAATATATAAAGGTTCTTGTCAAAAAGTAGAATTAAAAATTCTGTTTAACCTTTTTTCAAACTTAGCTACAAAAATAACATGCATAGAGGCTTTTCTATGCGTGGTTCTGAAGGCCATGTAGCCTATTTATTCTTTTAAACGTTTCTAAATTACAGTATTAGATCAGGCCAGATCAGACCTCTGCTGATTCATCCCACTCCTAAAGTTTCTTATAAAATTGCTTTTTGCATCATGCTATTTGCTTATAGAAAGGCATATTATAATAAATATCATAAAAAGCTCATTGTTATGGATGCTGAACAAATGCTATCCAAATGCTGTCCCTTTTTATGTATATCAGATCTCAGTAATAAGAAAAGCAATGTTTTGATCCAATGGACACTGTGAATCCTGTAAATGATCCATTATCCCCTTTGTTTTGGCCACAAGGAAGCTAGAAGCAATGTTGTAGCCCTAACAATGAATGGACTACATAGTTTGTATCTCCAGAATTAAATGCTACTTCAGTTTATTATTCTCCTGCCTTTATTTTTACCTTCATATGATTCTCTTACTTGTACTCTTGAAGCACTTTTTTTTTTTTTTGTAAATTGAATTCACAACAATAAAACAAGAATTGGAGGGGTGTTAAAAATGTTACTACATTCTACTCTTCTTTTAAGAGAATAAGGTAGAGGAACAAAAAACATTTGCAAAAAGTTATCTTTGTTGTTTTTTTTAAGTCCAGGTATCTGTCAGAATTAATAAACTATATTCAAGCCAATCTTCTGTAACGTTGACATCTGTCTCTAGTGCTATACAATAACAATAACTAAAACTCAGAATAATGATCCAGGGCACTAAAAGAGCTTGACTATTGAATAAAATGTTAGAATGTTTCAAGTTTTTGGCTCTTAAAACATAGCAGTAGGCTAAGACATCATTTTAGATATATTCGCCACCACCATCAATTTCCAGTTAAGCCCTTAGAAACCAAATTAAGGTTAACAGCTCATTATGCAGGCGATCTGAGTATTATGGACATTCTCTAAGGTTCTATTCTGGGTCTCTTAGGAACTCAGTGGGCATTTTGACTCTGACAGTTTCAACTTCTATATGAATGATTCCAAAATCTATCCCCGCTCAACTGGATTGCCTCGTCAAAACCTCAATTAAAATGGAGTTTCATTATCTGGCTCTTCTTCCTCACCCTGCCATATGCAATCCTTTCCAATTCCAAGGTTTCAGTCATCTTTGTTCCTTCCTTCTCCTCATCTCATCACTTTTAACCACTTCTTCTTTTGAAATGTCTTTATTTATGGCTGGCACTTGCATTTGCACTTGTATTTTACTAGCTGAGGCCCTAATTATGTAAACCACTCTCCTCTCAGACTTTCCATTCACCCCATATTCCACTGCCTCAGCATTGTTTATCAGGTCGCTTCCATCAAATCTGCAGTAACAACTTCCCATAACCAATTACATCAAAATGACATCTCTCATCTGAACTTTCAGGGATATCCAGGATCTGGCCCCATACTAATTATCACACATTTCCCACAATTATTCCTAGATCACCATTCCTTGACCAGGCCAAGCTGGTTAACGTGACTACCATTCTTTATTACTCTGCCTCTCCTCCCTATACCTGGAATGCCCACCTCTCTGCCTTAGCCAAACCTTACTAATACGCCAAGATATGGCTCATGTCTTATCTTAATTATGAAGCCCTCTCTTCATTATATTCCATATGGACCTTGTTCTTATCTGATTTCATACTGTATGCACAATCAACAACCAACTGTTCAGGAGTTAACTGTGCTCTAGTTGTTTCATGTGTATGCTCTCCAAGGTGGTCTTATCTATTCCCATGGTTTTAATTACATACTGTAAACTGACTCCCAAATCTAAATCTCCATACTTGTCCTTCTTCACTAAACTTCAGACTTACACATCCAGTTACCTACCTGATAGTGTCTCTTGAATGTGTAAGGGGCATCTCACACTTAATGTGTCCAAAAACGACTCTTAATTTTTACCACTGAAACACTTACCTTCCAGTCTTGCTCATTTCAGCCCCATTATCTATCCAGTTCCTCAAGGTAAAAATCTAGAGGTG